AACATTTAAGCTACAAAACGTGTCTTGGAAAGCGTGAAACATGGGTTATACAGTTATTTGAAGAAAAAAAGTTTGTTTAGAATTGCGTTTTTCTCCACCGCACTGTAGCTTCAAATTGATTTTTATCTCAATGCAACTTTTTCTTACTTTTGCCTTTAGGTGTGTTGCGGTGAGTGGGACCCACTAATCTTTTTACCTTCGTGTCCCTTCGTAGTCCAACACATTTTTTTTTTCCTACCAACCGTAAACAACACATTTATATTATTTATTATTCTTTTAATAAATATAATAATATTATATAATTAAATTTAGTTTTTTAAAAATAAAATTTTAAAATTTAATGATAAATATTTTAATATTATTATTTGAATAGATTAACAAAACTAAATAAATTACTTGATTATATTATACGTTACATTATCTCCCTAAAATATCTCTCTAAAATACTTATGTATATTCTTAATATTTTTAAATTAATTAAGTGAATCTTATACAAAACCTCATGCCCTTTTCAGTCTTTTACATTTAAACTTACTTTTCATTATTAATCCAAACATGTTTCAACTTTTTAAACTGACTTGTTTTAAATGTTAATCCAAACATAAATCATACTATATTGACTTTTACTCCAACTCACGTTTGTAAATATCAAATAGAATAAAAATCAGTTTTACTACCGTTAATCCAAACACACCATTAATCATCCAACACCGGTCCATTCACTTCTATTTTGGTGTGACCATTGAGGCAGCACTAAATGAAGTTGATTAAAAAAATTTAAAAAAATTAACATAAACAACTACAAATAATTAACTTAACTAAATATTTTAATCTCTGTAAATTATCTGATTTTATTTACAAGGTGTTTCAACAAAACAAAAATAAATAAATCTCATTAATTTTATCTTAAAATTTAATCACCTTCCAACTTTATTTAATGAACTAATAAGTTCAAGAAAATAATAGTCCGTAAAACAATAAATTAAGAATACAATTATATATTTATATAAGAAATTTAATTAGATAATTTACATTTTAAATAAAAATATTTTATTTCTCCACCTCAAAAATAAAATAGAAGAAGTATTCTTTTTTATTAACTTGAGTTCTCGCGAAGAATCAAATCGCTAAACAAGGGACCAGCGTCATCATGGGCCTGTTTGGATATCATTCCAAACCATGGTTTTGGAGACAAAACCATGGTTTGGACCAAGTGATATCCAAACAGCCTCATTTTTGTCAAAACCTTGGTTAGAATCAAAACCTTGGTTTGGACTGATGAAACCATGGTTTCCTGGAAAGTGACAATTTTTCGCTTCTGGAAAATTAAAAACGAGTCGTTAGGACTGTCAGAGGCTATTAACGGTGTATTTGACAAAAACACCCACAAGAATTATTTCACGCTTCGCCTGTTCGTCCTTGGCCGTCGCTCCTCTGAAGACGCCTCTTCACCCCTGTGCCGGAATATGTGCTAACTTTTAATGCGTTCATGTATATCTTATATATCTTATACCCCTGCGTCGGTGAGGATATATATAATGTTAATGAATTGGTTTCTTTATTAATACACATGATAATCAATAAATCAATAAATATACCAAATATTTATTTCTTTGAGGTCTGGGTTTGGCATACCAAATATAGCGCCACTTCAATATATTATAAACAAATTTATTTTTTGAAATTAAATTATATTATAAAATTTATCTTTTATGTAATTATCATATTAACTTATGTCCCTTTTTGTAATTTGTACATATAAAAAGTGCTTCTGATAACAACTATCCAAACACTCTCACTTTTCAGAATCACTTTTTTACAAAATCTATTCTTTATAAAATCTATTCTTCTCAGAATCTATTCTCCAGAAGCTATTCTCCAAACCATGGTTTGGTTTCATCCAAACACTCCCCATATCAAATTCGCACTCATTAATTGTGGTTCCTTAAAAGTGAATGGAAGTGTGAATGCACCTTTCATGACAACGCCAACTAAAATTCTATTCAATAATGGATTATCTGTCATACAGTAGGCGAGCATGACGTTGGACATAATGCAACTTCAGAACACTAATTAATTAATGTGAACATTGTTCTTAGACAACTAATATTTAATAATAATATATTAATACTACCTCCGGTCCTAAGACCCTGTTTGACTTTTATTTTGATCCTAAATATAAGATCCCAATCCACTTTGTCTTTCATATTTATCCACTTTTTCCAAGATAGTCCTTTTAACAATGATAGTTCTAGTCAATACACTTGATTAGTAAGGATATTTTAGAAAAGATAACACCTATTTATGAAAAATAACTAACTTAACTAAATTCTTTAATCTCTTCAAATTAGTCAACTGGATCTAATTAGGACCAGAGGTAGTACTACATACTTAAATTTTTGGGTAAAAAAAAAATCAGAACCCACTTAGGGGTTAGGATGGCCTAATAATTACGGGAGATGCCTAAATATCCTAATTAGTAACCTATTATTTGCCCTTTTGACTTAGGAATTAGGATTACTATTAATGCCCAAATGTATGGGACCCGCTGTGATTAGTAAATAAGCATAGACTCTTTTTTTTTTTCCCCCAACTAAGCATAGACTCTTTTAAGCTTTAATAATTATTGGATAATAAAAAGTTGCTAGGTTGTTGTGGAAGTAATGCTCCTCTATTGTGACAAGTGACAACTAATCAAGTTGAGATTATCAAATACCCTAATTAACTATGTTGTATAGATATACTACCTCCGGTCCTAATTATAAGACCCAATTGACTTATTTAAGGAGATTAAGGAAGTAAGTTAAGTTAGTTATTTGTAATACATAAGTGTTGTCATTCCTAAAATATTCTTGCTAATTAAGTGTATTAGCTAGAACTATCATTATTAGAAGAACTATCTTGGAAAAAAATGCATAAATATGAGAGACAAAATAGATTGGGGTTTTATAATTAGGACCAAACAAAAAGTCAAACGGGGTCTTATATTAAGGACTGGAGGTAGTATTATTTTTCTTGAAGTTTATCTATGCAGTTATATTTTAAGTATTGTCAAATTTAATTGATATTCATTTTTTAAAAATATTTTTTTAATTCAAGATATCTCAATCCTTAATCTTACTTTAGAGGAATCATATCTCCCCAGTCAATTGTGACTCATTTTATTATTAAATTTTAAACAAATGGATTTGGAGGAGCCGCTTGTGGGTTTGACTTGACCGGCCTATAGCAATCCATTGCACGTCTTCACATCTTCTTCTCCGCACGCTTCCTGTGTTCACATTGATTAATGACTAACAACACCCACACACACACGCACACATTTTCACCCTTTCTCCATCCAGATTATTTTATTCTCTGATTTTATCTTGAAAACATATTAATGGGTATTTTCTCAATGTTCTTGTTCTTCTTATTCACTATCACTCTATGCTGTTTTTAAGCTTTAAAAGAAGTGTCTTTTATATACAATTTCACACTAAGGAAATCTTTAAAACCTTGTTCTATAGTTATAACCGGAATGATTATTGTCTTATATACAATTCATATATAACAAAGTTAGATTTGAGTATTGCATTGAATTTATTCTGAAAGTTTAAAATTACAGCAATTTTGTTTCCTGCTGTAATATTAATTGTTATCATTTTTAACGGTGGGGGCAAAACTGCTGCGATTGTAAAGTTCTAAGGTAATATTGAACCCAATAAAACTTATGATTGCTCAGCGCTTCCAAATGAAAATTTTCCAAAAAAATTTGCGCCTTTAAACTATTTTCACAGGAACACCAGTTATTTTTTAAAGGGAAACCATATTGAAGGTACCTATACTTTCTCTCAATTTTTAATTTGGTACCTATGTGTTTTTTTCCCTTTAATTAAACATTTAATTTTATCTTTTTAGCAACATTAGCTCTTATAACTTTGTTCTATTGATATTTTTAATCTTTACATAAGGATTAATGATGTTAATAGAAGAAAAATAAAGATTTAGTTAAGAACAAAAAACACATAGGTACCAAATTGAAAATTGAAAAAAAGTATAAGTACCTCCAATATGGTTTTCCCTTTTTTAAAAAAAATGAAAAATACAAAATCCCAAATTAATTATTTTTATAAAAATATGTTATTGTTTGCAAATCAACTATTAAAGTGTTGTAACAAATTTTTATGGTCCATATTTGTCATTTTTCCTATTCTAAATTATTTTTTACGAGGTATACATATAACCTTCTATTAAAGATAATCCTATTTGAAATACTAGCGTATACCATATATAAATACATCTCCGAATTCGAACATTCATTCTCCACTCCAATAAACCCAAATTTGGCTTTCCTATTCTAAATTATCAAGCCACATAACATCATCGTTACATTTAAACGAGGGAAAAAACATTGAAATGTCGTCCCTAACCCATTCTATCCACATCCATAAGGGTTTTGGACTAGATTTGAAGGCCCTAATTGAGTTAAAAATCTTTCTCCCTTTAATACGTCTTGTGAATGTCGAAATATTCAGATTAACGATGTCCTTTTCTTCTTAATAAGATTAATCGTTTTTCCGTATTCCTGAGTCAATACATAAGGCTAAGCAAGACTTGATCACTCTGTTTTGTGGCGCCTGGGGTAAGAATTTCATTATTGTTCCATTCATTTTGGTCCAAAAAAACATTATTGTTCCATTGATCAACTTCTGTTGCTTGTTTGGGAATCCTTTGGCGTAAATTCCATTTGTAGTTTTCATGTTCCAGGGCTAGACTCCCACACAGACAGTTCCACGTCAAACAACGTGGTCTTCCCTAGCCACAGGTTAAATATCTGCCTAGAATTACTAGAAGACAACCAATAAATTACTTTCATCCAAACGGAGCACACGGGCATGTTCTGACTTTTCTAAATTGAAAGTTGCCCAGTGGTTGATCCTCTTATGGCGCCATTTAGCTTCTTCTTACCTAAGCTTTCCGAAACTATGAAAGTACTGCTAGCTTTTGCACAAATAAGATCTAGAACAAAACCACACACTTCACAGTTCAATTTCTTTTACCATATGTAAGTCCCCACAAAATGGCACTTGCAATACCAATCATTACACAAATGCAACCACAAGAGCAGAGTTAACGACAAAGTTCAAGTATCAGTTTGTTCCACAATTTTATGGACAGCATACTGATAACCATCTTCAAGACCATGATGTGATGGTTTTCCAGCAATTTGCCAGCCATGGTGCGACAGTTTGCTTCAGCGAGCTTCATACTGAACAACTGCACAAAATAATTAATTTGGCTGAGCACTGTAGATAACATGCGCGTATAGGGAACAGTTAGAAAAGATCACAATTTTAGCCTGGGATTGAAAATTATGGTTCAAGGAGGCAATACACCAGAATCTGCCGTAATATTCATACTTCATATAAAACAAATCTTCTCTCAGAGTAAACGGAACCAGTATATTTGAGGTCGTTAAATCACAAGACAAGAATTATATCTATACCAAATAAATATGAATTCAATGTATAAAACAGGGCCAGTTCCTTAAACTGCTCGCAGTTGAATTGCTTAAGCTAATTGGATAATATCAATTGATCAGTAGCAACTTCCACAACCAAAATTAATGCAGAAATTTCAAGGAAAAACAAAATCTGTGCAACAACTACAGCCAAGGGCTAATACACAGAAAATTCTCTGCTCAATCAATAGAGAAAAGTTAGCATTTACATTTATCTTCACACATTATAATATCACATGAAAGAGATGCAAAATATAGAATCAGCAAAGTTATATCTGCATATATGCCAAAAATAAAGACGAGAAAAAAAAAATCTTTATATGGCTAACCTGAAAATCTAGTAGCAGTACCTAATGCAAGGCTACATGTTTCAACGGGAAAAACTAATACCAAATGCATTGGATCAGAAAACTTGGGTGGAAAAGAGGGTGAGAAAAGAGACAAAATATCATATTTTGCATATTTTACAATATTAAACAAAATATAAATCTACCAACGAATGAAATAATAGAAGGGATCCAATGTACAAAGCAATATATCCTGAGCCTAACCATTTTAGCACAAGTAAAAGACTCATCAGATATGAAGACATACTGTATAAAGATGATTCATTACATAATATATTAGAAAAAAGGGACGGTCTAAAAGCTTCCATTGTAATAACTTCTAAGCGAGCTTGCATCTTAGGGATAAAATGAATGCTAAAGCTAAACAATTCCATAGCAATCAGCCGTGATTCTTGAAAAGGAAACTCAAGGCAAAGACAAAGGCAAGTGTTATTTCTATATCAATATATCCCTCCTTGTCTGATCACTCGAGAGCTAAATATGTATGTAAACCTATACATAAGGAGGCCAAGTCCAAAACACGAAAGAGGCCAGTTCTGGTTATCCCTTGAGTTTCAGGTAAGTGGATATTGTACATCCGATTTCCCTAAATAAGAAACCTATTTATAGGGCCTCTGGATGTAATATCATACCACCTCAGCTCCTTTTTATAAGCTCAAATTAATTACTTTACATAAGTTAATAAAGTTAGTAAAAATTTATTTCTTGTAAAATCGCTTAAGAGAAAATGGTTGAAAATCGCTTAAGATGGTTTGGACATATGCAGCGAAGGCCATTGGAGGCCCCGGTGAGAAGGGTGAATCAGACAAGACGGAGTCCCATAAAAAGGAACAGAGGAAGACCAAGAAGAACGCTTAATGAGGTCATTGAACGAAACCTCCAAGTCAACAACATATCTAAGGACTGGGTTGTTGACAGAGCACGATGGCGTCGTGTGATTCATGTAACTAACCCCACCTAATAGGATAAGGCTTGTTGTTGTTGTAAAATCTCAAAGTTACCCTCGCTAAAACTCATTAGGCAGAAATGTTTGACCAATTAGTTAGAAAGATTTATAATTAGTTAGGGATACTAGGTGGGAAAAATTAATATTTTAGACAAAATATGTTATATTATGAAACATGCATAACGTCATTATAGTAAGGACCAGAGGTAGCACCCATTAACAATCAGACCCAGTGTATGATATGTATACCAAAATGCCAGTCTTAATATCTTAAGTCCACCGAGAAGCAGTGGCTCAAATGGCACAACTCATATTGAGGGTAAGATCTGCGCCTGCAAAACATTTCAGCATTTGCCAACTCGTTTTGTTTTTTTGTTTTTTTTTTTGGGGGGGGGGGAGTCTTATCCAAATCTATCATAACTTTTTTTTTTTCCTTTTTACATTTGGTTTCAAAGGAAGCACAAGATCCCGGGAGTAGGAATAGGAAAGAGGTGCAGCGAGGATCAAACCCATATGAATCGGAACTGCTGTTATTCTTCCCTTTTCTTTTTTTTTTCTTTTTTTTTTGCCATTTAAGGTCTTATATACCTTCCCCATTTTCCCTCATCAAGTCCCCAAATTTCAATTATTAAAACGGGCACAAATGGATAACATCATAATGTTTGCCAACTGAATGTTATGAATTAGAGTCTCTCTGTTCTTCCTTTTAGTGGACATTAAACCAAATTTGAGTCTTTTGAGAATTACGGATGATCCAGCAGATCTTAAAAACTGAGGCTAGCAACAAAGACCTGCCACTTTGTAATATTTTCTAAACAAACAACAGTATTCATAAAAAACAGAAAGAGAACCAAAAAGAATTCCCACTCCAACAAAATTAGCACCCACGCATACGTATATAGTGTAGAATATATAACTCAATTCCTTCCGGGGACCTAATGGTTGTAAGAAAAAGATAACACAACAATAGAAAGTCCAGAGGTAGCGGAAGCTTACTGCGACGAGTACGCTTTTTGTACAGAATCCGATAACCGCATTCTCGGCACTGTATCACGTCGCCGGGTTTAAGAGTGTTCTCCATCCCACAATCTACAAAAAGTCCAGGAAACAAATAAAAAAAAAACGAAGGCTCAAGACCCAACAAATTTTAAAAAGAGACAAAAAAAAATTTAGAAAAACAGGTTCAAATGCAAAAGCATAAAAGAACCTCAGCCACACCCTGTATTTTTACCAAAAAAAACTTTACTGAGAAACAAATGGAAAACTGGGAGAGTTAACATACCCCCACAGATGTAGCTTACAGGCTCAGGTTGAGGATCCATGGCTTCAGCAAGTTGCAGTGAAGCAAGGTACAGCCCTAGGTCTTTCGATTAAGGGCTGGCGCCGGCGCGAAGCGAGGAAGACGGTAGAACAGTAGAAGTATGACTCTTACTTGGACGGCCCTCAACAGTACATGCACCCACACATAAAATAATTGACCGTGCTGGCAAAACCGTTCAATGGGCTTGTACGACCCAACCACGAGAGCAAAACTAAAATGGGCCGAAGCCTCTATCCCTAGATGTATGGGTTTTAAACAGTGTTTTTGGAGCCGGACCAGACAGGTTGGATCGTCAACCGGGAAGAAGAACGGTGTAATGTGATTTATGTTTGGATATGTGCTTATAAAAAGTCAGTTAAAAAATTGAAAGTTGTTTAGATGACTAATAGAAAAGTTAATTTAGTTGTAAAATGACTGAAAAGGATATTGACTTTATTGAATAGTAGTATTTGAAATTTTATGTTTTTAACGTGATAATAATTTAAAAAAATATGTAAAATTATTATGATAAAATATAAATAGTTTATTTGTGAAATTATAAAATAAAAATATTTGTTACAGAGAAAAATTTAAAAACATATTGTAGATAATTAATTAAATATATATAATAGACAAACATGAATATAAATTAAAATTTATTTGGTCTCTAATTAAAGTAAATAAAATTGATTAGATCATAAGCTTTGCACAATTTTTCTATAAGTCAGTTAGAAAAGTTGATCCAGATTGCGATAGATAAGTCAGTTAAAAAAGTTACTTTTTTTCATAAGTCAATTAGAAAAGAAGCCCCATCCAAACAATTTTCTGAACCACAATAAGTCACAAACCTCGGTTTCACGTTTCCCTGCATGCTTTTACCATCTGCAACGGCAATCCAAACAAGGCCCAAATCGTTCAAAGGATTAGCCCATATTGGGCTGCCAACCGGAGCGGAGCAGATCTTAGAAAACCGGACGAGTCTCATAAAGAACGTGGAATTGAAGATCAAAGAATGAGGATGAAGAAGAAGCTGAGGATAGACGATGAAGACTGAAATAGGGAATATATTCATTGAAGAAGAAAGAGGGGTGAAATTCTTATCTATAAAATCAATTCTTCTCTTGAGATGAAAGAAAAACCGTTGTCTCCTTCTCCCATCTCAGAGCCATTCTTCATCGCTGGAATTTAAGAGTCGACCGGGAGAAACAAAGAAAGATGAAGACACAGTGACTGGAGAGAGAGAGAAAACAACGCCCCCCTCAGTATTCCTGGTGAGTGGTGCATTCTTTTTTTTTTTTGGTGAGTGGTGCATTCAGAACAAGCATATGAAACACGCTTGGTAAATTGAAATTAATTAATTACTATTACTAATTAATAAATATTTTGTTTAAAAAAATCTTTTTATCAAATGAAATGCTTTTAAAACATTATGAAGAGAACCAATTTCGAAGGCTAATAGTGTCGTCTCTTTTTTCAATGTTATCTTTGAAGAGAGGTAGATGAGTTAAACGTGCATATGATATATTCTATCTATTTATTTTTGCCACTTATACTATTTATTTTTTTAATTTTTTAATATTAACTTTGAAGAGAGCTGAGTGAATTAATTGTGGGATCACATCATATCTGCTGGATACATATTAAAAATTTACTGTATTTTTAAAATTAACTTTTTATATCTTTAATTTCATTCTTTTGATTTTTTATTACTAATCAAGCCTGTATCTAAAATCATGAAAAATTACTTTATCACTTTATAATTTAATTTGTCAATTATCTCAGAGATTATAGTGTTTTTTTTGAAAATTTGATGTTTTATTCTTATATATGTGCATTATTATATATTTATATAATATTATTTTTATTTAATTATTATATTAGCAGTTCGACCGAATGGTTTAACCGATCTAATTGTTTCAACCATAACCCACTGATCTTTCTAGTTCGACATCTAGTCCGGCTTTTAAAACATTGGTTTTAAATAGTTAACCCTAAACTAATAGAAATTGAGTCTAGCGGAAGAGGTTAGTCTTTCATTACATGGTGAATTAAGATTCGAATCCCTACTAAAAAAGGTACTTATATTTAGTACCCAACAGTGTCTCGAATAGGATTACCTCCTATTAGAGGATACTTATGCTTTAGCAAAAAAGATAAATAAATAAATAGCTAAGCCTAAGCATTCTCTTAAATTATACTTGACCGGTTTGACGTAATGAAAAAAGATTAATCTCTCATAATATAACAAATCAAGATTTATATCTCTATTAAAAAAAGTACTCACGTTTAACATCAAACAATATCTCAAATACCACAGCAATGGGAGGATACTTATGTGCAGCAAAATAAATCATATTCGACCATTGATAAGATTAAAAAGGTTAACAACAATAATAATATCCATTGATAATGAAAAATAATTGCATAGACATAATAGATATTATATATCTCATAAATAAAAGTATAAAACATTTTCACCATGCCTTGTGTCAAAATTTCACCGACATGCAATAAGCTCTTGAAAAAAAATTTATGTAAATCATAAAATTATAATTTCATGAAAAATTGACTAAATGACGTGACTCGGCCATACTTTTTAATTTGACCCCAGTTTACTTCAACTCTGTCGTAATTCAACTTGTTTTTTGAAGCGGAAGACGTGAAAAGAGAAGTGTGAAGTTGGTATACAACTTGCAGATGAAGACCAAAATTAAAATTAAAAATATAAAAAATTGAATAAAATAATTTTTACACAAAATAAGTTGGGTAACCCGATCTTATTTTCCATATGCATTCAATATCCTAATGTTTTCTCTAATGCATCTAACATTCTGATCTTATTTTATTAATACATCCTGTATTTTAGTCTTATTTTTATAGTATATTTAGCATTCTGATATCATTTTTCAGTTACGTTTAGTATCCTAATTTTAGGACAGTGGGTATGATCCGAATATTTAGAATGCGGGATCATTAAAAATAAAATGACGTTGTTAGTTGCATCGAAAAAATAAAATTAATATGCTAAATAATGTGCTATAAAAATATTAGAATGGCGAATGCACACTGTTTTAAAATATTGTCACTCTGTGATTTACCACATGAGCTGCATTACGGAACGATACAGAAATTTATGGGGAGGGAACTTGAACAGTGGGTTTTAATTATTGGAGGAAGCCAGGAAACATGAGTGCTTTTTTAGCTGATTGCTTGTCGCAGCATTTGTTGTCATCAAACATATAAAACACAAAAGTAAGAGACAAATATTACAACGCCTATGAAAAGTGACCGTGGCAGTGGCAATACCCTCTTCACAAGTTTTTCTCTTCCATGGTTACCCTTTATTTGGATGGTAAGAAAAGTTACAGAAGAAAAAAAAATATATAAGAAAATTTAAATGAGAGGGAAAATGTGAAAAGAATAAAAGAAAGAGAAAAAAAAAAAGGGATGGAACCACCACATTTTTCCTCAACTTTGTTCCTTTGAGTTGGAAGAGATTTTGGAAGTGTTTGAATAGAAACCAAACCATAGTTTCAGAAGTGATTTCACGGTCTACAAGATAAATATGTGGAAGAATTTATCTCGATTTACAAAAAAGTACTTTTGAGAAGCACTTTTCAGGGTATCCAAACACCTTTTTGGGAAGAAAAATTCTTATCCCACTATTATGAATTAGTATCATTTACCATGCCGTCTCATCATTCCAGCCAATCTCACCAAGTCACCTCCACAAGTATGAGAAATATATTTCTTTTCAATTTTTTTAAACATACATATATGAAAAATATATTTTTAAACATGTATCATTTGAATTTTTTTCAATTTATTATTTAATTTTTTAAACATATAAAATTATTTTATTTCAAAAATTAAAATAAAAAATATATTGTTCAGGTATTTTTATTTGAAAATATCATGATAATATTTATTTTTGGGTTAAGGTGTAAATTTAACAATAAATTTTTTCACACGTCAGTTCGTAGGAAGAATAAATTTTGTAAAATACGTTTTGTGTTTTTAATGAGTGTATGAATAATTTTTCTAAATTGCTTCTAGTCAAATGGGAGACTCTTATTTTGCCTAAATTACAAACATAAAATGAAACAGTACGATCTTTTTTCCCCTTAATGAGATCATGCTTTGTAGGGTCAAACATGCTTTATTTAAAGCTTCGGAATGCCAAATAAAACTTGCTGTTTTTTTTAGTCGTTTTTTATTATTGATTTCTTAAATCAATATTATGTTTTGTATAACATTTTAATATATAAATTTAAATTTATATTAATTTCTTTTTGTGTACAGATAAAACATGCTTGTAAACTGTAGTAATTCGTTTGGGGAAAAAGAATAGGCTTGTCATTGTATCAAGAGATATAAGGTGTACTGGCACTCCAAAATTTTTTTTTAAGATAAATTTAGTATTCTAAAATATTTTGTAGTGTATTCAAATTCTAAAATATTTTTTTAAATGTGTCTAATATTTTAAAATATTTTTTGGTACATCTAGTACCTGAAGGTTTTTTTTTTGTCCCCAGCACCTAAAAATAAATTTTTGTGTATCTAGTACTAATATAAAAAAATATTTTAAAGTGTTGGATATATCTAAAAAATACTTCATAATATTAAATATATTATATTACCTTCAATTTTATTTATAAAATATTATTTATAGACTATAAATAAGATCTTATAAATAAGATAAGAGGTAGTATTTTAAGATATAGGATACATTTTAGAAAATACTTGACGTAGTCATCCCTCTTAACCCTCATATAAATATGGCGACGTTGATGGAAGAGTGGGGCGGTTCGTGAAGAGCACCTAGACATTTATATTTCCAATGCGGATGAGGCCAAACACTGCAACAGTTTGTCACTTTCTTGAATGTGACTCTTTTCTTAAAAAGAATAAATAAGAAAATTTGTTAATATAATTAATGAGAAAAATAACCACAAAATACTATATAAGTTTCAAAAAAAACAAATAAGACATCCAAATAAACAAAATAATAAAAAAGGCATCAAGTACCAATCTGCAATTTTGATTTTTAGCTTAAAGACCAAAATGCCCTTATTATTACAAAACGCAATGAGATTTACAACTTTCATAGTGAGAATTACTATTTCGTCAAT